GGGGGGGGAAGGGTGTTTAAGCAAACCCGTAGAGGATTTTGTTGATTTTTTGGATAGCTTTAGGGTATAGGGTATGGTGCTTTCTTTTGTGAAGTTGTACCACAGGTTCACTCCCCTTTGAGTTTTCTTTAATGATAGTATAGATGAGCTTCTTACCTTGAAAGAAGGATGAGTAGAACGATAGGCTTTTTACCGAGCAGGACGCTTGCATGACTGTAAGCTTGCATCACAGATTTTACTTATCAATAAAAAATGTCACTGAAAATGATTTGGTCATAGGTCTCTTTAAATGCTAAATTGTCATTAATCATACTCATATACACTATCAATTTGCATATGTATGCATTAAACTATATCAGTTGATTGAAACAATTCAACACATATAATACAAAACTTGTTAAAAAATAAAAAATAAAAATTTCTGGAATATCAACCAAGGGAATTAGGTAAATCAATGTTTACATATCTTTTAATTTTGTACTTGCATCAACTATATAAAAATACCAGTGTAAATGTGCAACGATAGAAGGTATAATAATGTAGAATAAGGAGGTGATGGAGACCATATGCTATTTCCATGAGCATGGGCAGTTTGAGAAGAACACTAATGCATTTTTCATTGCTTTAATACCACAAAGGGAGGAGCAATAGAGGCATAGGACTCTAAGCCAAACAGCCTTTTGGGCAGTGTTTACAAGTTAATAGCCAAAGTTCTTACTTCGACATATTAATCCCCTGCAAGTTTCTTTAGTAGCTCTAGACGATTGATACAAGGCAGCCCTTTGTCACCACTCATTTTTATTGTGGTGATGGATACGGATGATAAGGAGGGCAGAGGCTCTTGACTTCATGAGGGGGTTTGGGGTGGGAAGGACAATCACTCAGCTAGAAGTAACACGTCTTTTTGCAAATGATACCATTGTATTATGTGAAGCGCTTGAGGACCAGCTGAGGTATTTGAGATGTGTATTGGTGTTGACCCCAGCAATGTCGAGGCTGAAGATAAATATTAGAAAGAATGAGATTGTTCCTGGTAGGGGAGGTAGACAACATACCAACTCTTGCCAGCATTGTAGGTTGTTGTGTTAGGGCCTTCCTAGTATCATATTTGGGTTTACCTTTGGGAACTTCATGGAAGGTGTTATCAAGGTTCTAGAAAAAGCTAGCTGGGTGGAAGAAACAATATCTTTCGAAGGAGGTTTACTCTAATCAAGAGTACCCTCTCAAACCTTCCAACATTCTTTCTCTATTCCAAATTCCCTCATTATAGTAAAGATTGAAAGGAGGCAAATATGTGCGAGAAAGGGGAGTTGAATTCAAATTCCACTTGGTGAATTGGGAGAAGACGAGAAGGATTGTAAACCTCTTCAACTATGAAGAGTGGGTGTAAGAAAATCTAACTTGTTTAACCAAGACTTGATGGGGAAATGGCATTGGAGATATGGTCTGGAAAGAGAGAGATTGTGGAGGAGAATTATAGAGATAAAAATTGTAGAGGACAGAGGCAGGTGGTGCTCCAAGGAAGTGAATACCCTAGTAGGAATGCACTTATGTGAAAAAATCGTTAAGGGTTGGACTGAATTCTCTAAGCATGTTCAGTTCAAGGTGGGAAGTGGGAGACAATCGATTTTGAATTTATGTTTGTCATGGGGACAAGCCTCCCAAGACTGTTAAGATTGCGGTGGACAAGCAAATCATGGTGGCCATCTGCTATCGTCATACTCTGTTATCGTCTTGATAGTGGGAGGGTGACATGGGATGTGCAAATTGGGAGGCAAATTTTTATTATTATTATTATAAGTACTTTGGGAGGCAAATTTAAGACTACAAAATGGAGAATATCATATCTATCTTTGGTTTGCTCTATTACCAGGCATGGAGGATTTGTTGTGAGATATTTTTATCAAGTGTTACAAGGTAACCAGACAGCATCTTTCACGTGGAACGCGATTGGAGAACAGGATTCCACCTCAAGGTGGCTTCTTTTGCATGAATATCCGGGAAGGATATTGGCGCTTGATAATTTGAGGAAGAGGAAGCAGATTGTGATCGAATGGTGTTGCAAAGGAGATGAGGCATCGGTGAGTCGCCTTCTTTTGTATTGCTCAGTTACAAGGGATGTTTAGGATCCTATTTGCAGTCTTCGGGGTGCAATGGGTATTCTAACTTCATAGAGGGCATGTTTGAGCCTTGGATAGTATGGTTCAATGGGAAGACAAGTTCAAGAAGCATGGAGGCAAGTCCACTTTGTGTTTGTTGGGGTCTGTCGTATGAGAGAAATAGGAGGTTTTTTTATGGTATGGAAGCTCCGATATGGATGATAAAGAATTATATTGTGAGCTCTCTCTTCTTTTGGGATTAAAGGGAGTTTTTGTAAATCTGTAGAAGATTTTGTTGATTGTTAGGATAGTTAAAGGATGTATAATTGTATTCTTTTATGCCATTGTTTCATTAGGAGTGCTCACCCCTTCGAGCGCATTTTAATGAATTATTAAAAAATGTGTTGTAAAAATATGCTCTACAAATATTCATAATAAAGCACAAGACACATATGATTTAAGCAGTCAACATAAGCCCATGAATCCAACATTAAAATATCTATCATAAGTAAAATAAATGAACTATCACATAAGCTAAAACATGATACATGCATAGCAATCAATGGTTGTTGAGAGAGAGGGGGGAGAGAGCTGACAGGTGATTAAAACATCAAGATGCAGTTTTTTAGCCAATAGGCTGCTCAAAAGCATTTGTTTAAGGGATTTACAGTTGCTTAATTGAACAGGCATCTTGCATAAAACAAGGCGTTTTAGTTGTCTTAGACATGCCTTTAACAACTACAGTTCAAACTACACAAAAGAGTAATACAGACTAATAAACACTTCTCTAGAAAATGTCAATAAATAGTTTTTTGTAAAGAAAATTAGATGATATCTGTTCTATTCAAATTTGCAAATTGACCAAGTGTTTATAGCAGTAGCGATATGAGAAATGGAATGTAGAGGCCAAGCAGTCTCCAATATAGCCCAAGAATCTCAACTGTCTGACATCTGTTATATTTGTACCTTAAACAAGCTCCGGTGGGTTTTAGGATTCATTCTTAATAACTTGATGCTGATTTTTTTTTACAGAAAATCATAATTAAATGGTGGATCAATTTAAGTTCCATATTAATTCAAACTTTTTTCAAGTTATTTTGTTCTTTAGTCGTGTCAATATCCCGATTTATTGATGAGAATTGCTCATCCAAGATTCTAAACAAGCAGCATATGATCACAATTTGAAAAGCATGAGCATTGCTGCTATCAAAGGCTCCACAAACTAAAGGACACACCACAGACTTAATTGTGTCAATTTCAAGTAGTACACAACACAACTTAAGGTCAAGAGAAGATTTGGAAAATTAAAAGCCAATGAAACTAGTCCTATCAGAACTCCAGAAGTACAAAATCCCACATACAAAAGCATGCATTAACTATTAAAAGAACCACGAAAATGAATATTATAATAAAATAAACCAATCCATCTGCAAAAAACCTTCACAAAGACCATGCACATCTAGAAGACAAGTAGAGCATACAAAATGCCTCGTTCAAAATAATTGCTGCCCACAACAAGAATGCCAGGTTTGCATCAGGGAAGTATAATGTCATTCAGCTTACAACACAAATCAATAGTCTAATAAAGTTATCATGTTAAAAACTTGACCTTTATGCACAGATGTAGAAATAGCAGAATTCCAAAACTGGATAACTTGACGCTTCATTCAATTCTTACCCCTCATGTGGGAAGGGGAATCAAATTTGTAATGGATAAAATGAATTACTCATTACATTCATTGAGGGCAACATCAAAACAAGTCATAGAGCACCAGAATAAGACACGAGAACATGCTAAGGGATGAATAGCTAGTAAGGGCAAACTTTCTACCAATGAATTACTAACTAAGTGTTCAGACCAGTTCCAACAATTGCAGCAAGACAATCAGTCAGCAACAAATACACAGATGCATTTTACATGCTGGTGTTGCAATTGGAGATAAAAGGCAATGAAGAAGTGCCAGTGCATTATACAATTAGAGTTGACACCAAATCCAACCAGCCCCTCCACCCATCTATCAACAGCAAAAAATAACTAAGGAACCAATTCTCCCTTACGCACTAGCACAATAAAGTGAAGGTGAGAAGAATACCCATGATACCATTGCATTCCACCCTAAAATGGACAAGCATGACTTCTGAACAGGGGAACATAAAAAGTTCTATTATTGCATATAACTAACCTTAGAATGTCCTAGCCATCAATTTGCCTTTCAACAGTAGAGACTCTATGCAAAAAAAGCTAATGGTCAACGGCTAGCAGGAATTTACCACGAAAAAACCCCTAGTGATTGTATCTGCTGCAATTTCTTTCAATTTAACCATAGCTGCAACTTAAATCAACCCCGCATATAACTTGATTTTAAAATAAAATGAACTGCAATCAATATATAGAGCCATTATTATCATGGTTTTGAGCTTACATGAACTCGAGAGTGATACACTAACTCCATGATAAATTTCCCCAATTAGAAATACACAAAAGCAACTAGGAAAAAAATTACACACAAGTAGGTACAAAAATGTCTGCATGTTTGAAGAATCTTCCACTATTTGTTTGTTTGTGTGTGAATTTCCCCCAAAAAATGTTATTTTCCATCACAACAAATGGGTTTCAGGTTTGCAGCAGTAACAATACAAGTTCATTAACAAACCCTTAAATCACAATTAGTCATTCATAAACACTTCAATTAGTCAACACTTTAAAACCCTTCAAACTAGCATTAGTTAAATCCTAACCTCAAACCCTAGGCGTAAACCCACAAGCTAGAACCGCAGAAACCCTAGTTAAAAACCTAAACTTTCAGGCTAATCACGCATGAAATTGGTGAGAATTTCTGGCTGCAATAACCATAAACAAGTGAAAACTGAAGATATAAAAGAGATTAAAGGCGTACTCACTATGTGAATGTCTTGAAAACCAGACAAAGCAAGCGTTTTGAGAAGCTCACACCCGATACCGCCAGCACCAACCATGAGCACTTTCGAGCCCTAAACAGCAAAAAATTGCTCAATAGCAACTAAATCAAGTGAGAATAGGAAACTAAAGCGAAGAAAAATAGGGTTTTTGCGAGATTTATATACCATGATTGCAGATAATTGTTGCTCAGACGCCATTGTAGAGAGAGAGTATGTGAAGAGAGTAATTATATGTTCGAAGATGTGTGTATATCATATACGAGGTAAGAGAGATATAAAGAGTTGTGTGTTGTGGGGAATCGAACACGGTATGGAAAGAGAATGGGGAATCTCGACGGTCTCCGCACCCGACGACGTCAAGGAAAGGGCGCCAAAAAGAACACTTTCTCTCTCTAAAATGCGCTCTCTAAGCAAGAAGCAACCCTTTTAACGGTGGTTTTGGGTATATATATATTAACTATAAATAAGAAAAAGAAAAAATATACTACTCCCTAATTAATTGGGGTTACAAGAGGAAATAAAGAAAATTATAGACAATTATAACTTTTTTTTGGGTAGAAAGAAAATTTAATAGTGGCCTCCAAAATATGATAACAAAAAATAAATTTGGGCTTCAATTCACAAAAAAAATTTCGAAAAGGAAAAATGGAGGTAAAAACAAATTATGAATTCATTAGTTATTAAAAGTGGGGACAAATTGGGAACTTATTGGCTCTATTATTCTCTCTCCCTCTTGTGTTTGGATTGAGAGAATCAAAAGAAAATGGGTGAAAAGATTAGGGAGTGCTTGTTGTTTCTAAAAAGGTGAAAGAACAGAAGTACAAGTATGAAAGAGAGTGACTAACTACTTGAATAGTAAATTCACCATTCTCCAAACTCATGCCCAATTTAAGCAAATGATGTAATGCCCATTTTATGCCTTCATTTTTCCTTATTTATCAAACTCATGACACCCACTTTTTCTTGAGAAAAAGTGGTTAAAATCTTTAGACAAATCCATCTATGTTGACCCAATTAAATTCTTAAATTATTTGACCTAATTTTATCCTCCATTAATTTAGCCCATATATAAATGTTGATGTCTGACCTTTAAACAAGTCATGTACATTACACATGACACATGAATTAATCATTTTTGACAACATTACCCATACAAATGCTCATTGTACCATGTCTAATTGATTTACCAAAAGACATGATATTTCATGGAGTTTAGAGTTTCTCCATTATTCATGGTGAACAAGGTGAACAATATTATGGACGGATTCAATATAGATAAATATTACATTTTTTTTTTTAATAGGATAAATATTATACATATAAGTTAAAATAAGTTAACTTTGATTTTTTTAATCTCTCTTTATAGGTTGTTGTAACGAGTAGGCGCTTACTCATTTATCCAAAATCTTAATTTTTTTAGTAGTGCTACATACCCACCCATTTATACCTAAATACTTTCTCATTCAAATCCGATGTGGGACAAATGACCCTTTTTACATTCTCACCCACCCAAACTTACAACGCCCTCGTTGCTGCTCGGGCCACCCTGCCTAACCGGACTAGCTCACCCGAACGCCTTTCAGGTCGGGCACTTGGCGTGACACCGGATCAAGGATTGGATCTAACTCTAATACCAACTGTAACAAGTGAGCGCCTGCCCATTTACCCAAAAGTTTAAACTGTTGGGTTGTACTGTATACCCACTCATTTATAGCCAATCACTTTTCCATCCGGATCCAATGTGGGACAAATGACCCTTGTTACAGTTATCCACTAGGGAAAGACAGGTGAAAGAAACATTTACTTTTATGTCGTGTTCAGTGTGCAAGAATTGAATGAAATGAATGCCCATTTCAACCATTTATTTGTTTGGTATGCAATTTAAAGTAGGAATGACCATTCCATTAGAATAAAAATTAATTATTGTGAATGAAAAATCATTTCACAATTAAACCTATGGAATGGTTATTCAATTCCCAAATAAAGTTTATAAAAAAAAAATCAAGTTCTTAAAAAACTCTCATGTTCTATGTCCAAAAATAACCACCGTCGCTACCGCCGCCACCACCACCACAACCACCGTCACCTTTCACCAACACCACCTACATTGCCTCTCACCACCATAACTACCACCACCACCGTTGTTGTTGTCTTCATCCACCATACCGCCATCGCCTCCATTGTCTTCCGCCACCGCCACCACCACCAACTTCCACCATTGCTACCATCTTCCACCACTACCACATTCCACCACCGCAACCTCCATTGCCTTCCACCACCGTCATTACCACCACCACCATTGCCACCGCCATCACCACCTACACCAAAATCACCTTCCACCACCACCAACACACTGCCGCCGCCCTCACCACCTACACCAAAATCACCTTCCACCACTACCACTACACTGTCGCCACCATCACCACCTACCTTCCACCACCACCACCACCACACTGCCGTCGCCTCCACCGCCTTCCACCACCACCACCACCACTGTCGCCTCAACTGCCTTCCACCACCACCACCACTGTCACCTCAACTGCCTTCCACCACCACCGCCACTGTCACTTCCATTACCTTCCACCATCACCATAACCACCACTTACGCCACTACCACATTCCACCATCACTGCCTTCTACAATCATCGCCTACCCCACTAATGCATACCGCCACCACCTTCCACCAACACCACTGTTGTCTACCACCACCGCCACCTTCCAACATCACCTCCTCCACCTACACCACTGCCGCTTTCCACCTTCACCACCACCTTCACCACCATCTAGCACCACCATCTTTTCTTTTAAAAAAATTATAAAAGAATATTATTTTGTTAATTTCATTTATTTATCTCTAAGAAGGGTATTTTAGATAATTAAATTTAAATTTATTCCATTCTAAATTTTAAATTGGTGGAATCAAATAGTAGAATGGTTATTATCATTTTATTTATATACATTTCATATTTACAACCAAACAATAGAATAAGAATGATTAGTCAACTCCCATTCTCATTTCATTTCTACTTGCATTTCATTTCATTCCTACACACCAAACACAGCATTAAGGGATCGTACATCGTGGCCAAATCTACTACTTTTGTGTGGATAAAATTCCCTTAATAAGTAATTAATAAATTAAAATGTTATTAGACATATATAGTTATGCATTATATGTATACATTATACATATATGTATATATATGTATGTATATATATATATATATATATATATATATATATTATTCTGTATAAAAATTAGTTTCATTGGTACTTTACTTAGAGCATCTCCAATAGTTGTTTATTTATTTATTTAAAAAATTTAGACTAATTATTTTTTGCTCCAGCCATTGTTTTATACTTTTTGCGTAAAAATATATATGTCAATAACAATCAACCATGTGACATGCCCAAGACCCCACATAACTTTTATAAACCTGATTTGATAATGAAATGAGAAAAATGGAGGAGAGAGAAAATATGTTGATGTAGCTGTGTAAAAGGATTATACAAAATACACAATAATTTTACACATTGGTAGGTGGCAATGTATTTTAACATACTATTAGAGATAATAATAATAATAATAATAATAATAATAATAATAATAAATAATAAAATTTACACATTATGTATATTTTTACACAAAAATATCTTTTAACACACTGTTGGAGATGTTCTTGTATGTCCACTAGTTTTGTTATACAGAAGTGGGTTTTTGTTATGATTTTTTTTTTCTAAAATATTTATTTATTTATTTTAATTTAATTTCCTTATTATGGGTATTTATGTAAGTTTGTTTCATCCTTTAATGGCAATTAATTCTTCATTAGCCCAAGAGGGTAATTTGCAATAATTTAGTGTTCCCCCCACCCAAAAAAAAAAAAAAAAAAAAAAAAAAAAATTAGAGGATGGTATTGTGCAACTTTTTCAAACTCCAGACCGAGCAAATAAGATTTAAAGACTCCGAAAAAGAAAAAAAAAAAAAAATGGATCGAAAGACATTTGAGGAGATCAAAACATTCAAGAGGGATTCAACTGAGATCATTTATGGAGAATTCTAGAAGATTTCTAGAAAAAATTCAGTAAGCAAAAAACATTTCAAAAATTATTTTGAAGAAAGAAAGTTTCATATTCTATTTTGAAAAGAAATCTAGAGGGAAAGTTCTGAAGTTATCTTAGTAAATCCCCCAAAGCTTTTGACTCAGATAGTAAAATTAATACTTAAAATTCGTCATTTTTGTATCATAAGAAGTTAATGAAAAGTAATTAAAGTTAAGAGTTTGTCTTTAAGTATAATTCAAAAAAATTATTTATAAAAGAACAAAAATTCAAAAAAAAATTTTGCACTTTACCTAAATTGTATCAAGAAAATCTGTGTTGGACCATAATGCAACACAAAATTGTGTAATTTGAAAGATGACACAATAACGTTGTCCATTAACTAAAATAAAAGTTTGAAATCACTTAGTCGTTTGGCATTACAAGGGACATTAAACCCAAAAATAAATAAACAATATTAAAAACTAGACCCCATCATGACTTTAATGGTCATTAATGAGTATTTTAATTTTTTCAGGTAAACAACTAACAACTTAAACCCATTCGCACCTACACAATTTTCAATTTTGTCGTAGGTGATGCTCAAACATTGCATGTGCCCTTTTTGGAAATTAAAAAAAGGTTAAGTGCATAAAATCTTTTTTTACTATTAATATAGTTCATATCAGTCCTCGTGGGATAAAAAAAAAAACCCTCTATATTATCAATTTGGTGCGAAGAGGTCCCTAAATGATGTAAAATGATGATAATACCCTCACTTCAGTTGAATAAATTAATAATTATAAATACAGGCCATATAAAATGATCATTTTGTCCAAATTTGTATAAAATGGGGTTTGTTTGGCAGAAGGATAAAATAAATCTCAAATTGTATAAAATAGGGATAACCTAAACCTGAATATAATTAAATCTAAAACCAAACATGCCCTTTCATATTTTAAAATATAAATAAATTTGTCATATATATATATATGTGTGTGTGTGTGTGTGTGTGTGTGTGTGTGCACATCATATATCATTAGGGCATGGATGATGGGTTTTAAGGTAAATCATTTCAGCCTCCGCCTCCATCGTTGTCTTCATCCCTTCAAACCCATCCACTATCTTCATCTCTCAAACCCATCTACTTCAACTCTCTGATCCAAATGGGTCTCTTGCTCTCTCCGTCCGTGAGAGTTATCAATTCTCCCTCCCATCCGTGAGGGTTCTCTCCGTCCGTGAGAGTGGGTGGGTTTTTCCTTTCCTTCCTTTGTTTGCCCGGTGCTCGTGAGTTTGGTGTTCTGAGCTTCCTGGTGGTGCTGGTGTTGTTCCCCCTCTGTGGTTTTGTGCTTATTGGGTGTTGCGGTTGTTCTGCTTTTGGGGTTAA